AGGCCTCTCTCATCATCTCACATCACTGTTGTAGTTACATAATGAAATAATTGCCATTAAATGTCTTGGACCTTGTGTTACACATACAGTACAAGTTATAATGTGTGTGTTGTCTTCAGTGACATGTAACTATGGAAATGGGGGTTGCCAGCACACGTGTGATGACACAGACACAGGGCCGGTGTGCGGCTGCCATCAGAAATATGCCCTGCACTCAGACAGCAAGACCTGCATCGGTAAGTGATGACACATGCACTGAAGCTGTCACAGCTGTTGGAAGTCATATGTGTGTACAAAACATATGATTTCAAAGAAGGAAAGTAACGAAATGAGGAAGTGGGGTAGGGAGTCGAAGGTGGCATGTTTTCCAAAAGTTCTTTCCCATTTTTTTCTCGCTTCATCTTATTTAAACACTGAATATATAAAAGGCAGGCAGCTGCTCACCCAACAGAGAGAAATGTGCTTTAACAGAATTATCTCCACACCAGCTCTGTGCTCGTTTAGAAATATAATCAATCCACACTACCAATAATGACATGGATGAGACTCATTTCTGTGCAAACTGTTATTAGTGGCAAAAACTACAAATGAGACCTAACTGTATCAAAGCCTTTGCAAGCTGTAGTCGAGTTTCATGCAAACTGTGTCCCGCATCTATCCTACATCAGCAGTATAAACAATGATTTTATTGTGCATACTCCAACAAATCAACTATTGTGTGGTTGTTAATGGATTGCAAAAAAAAGGTTGCATGATTAAGTATGACTAATTTGAGTCTTGTACAAGATGGAATCAAATCAACAATTGATCCAAAGTGAGCCCAAACTTTTAATTAATTTGTGTTTTGATAGCATTTTTATTTTGAGTATGACAAGCATTCTCACAATAGGTGTAAGGATAACAAAAATGGACACAGAAAATTACTGTAAGAGCCAATCTGAATGTCCGCTTTGCATACTGAAGAAATGACCTGGTTTGTTTCAGGAAACTAATAAAATACTTAGTGAGATTCATCCTTTATCTCTTGGCTAAAATCAAGATAGCAGCTAGCTTGAGAACTGGATGAGTGGAGTTTCCTGACACATTTTCCCATGGACAGGGTACAAATACAGTTTCTTCTCACTCTGCTACATAAGTAATGACTCTGTCCTGAACACACAAACAAAAACATAACACACACTATGATAACATCCATAGTAGGTCTGAGGGGGTATTGCAGTAGTAAATTGTCAGGACCAAGGAATGAACAGTAATATGTTTGGACTATACAGAACTGGCTGGTGGACAGTAAATGGCTGACACTTCTCCCACTCTGAGAAAGGTAATCATCATGTTAAAACTGACCCCAAAAACTCTGCCAGCAAACAGCAGGAAATTCTCTCTGCCCCAACAGGTCATTTGTATGTCAACATAACCCTCCCTCCGTATCAGTAGAGAATTAATGGAGTGTTCCAGGTAAGTGTAGTTCATAATGTTGTTTTCCCTGCCTCCTTGCTGCTGATACAAATGTAAGAAATGGTTTGCAGAACCTGTAAGCAATTTTCATCTCAGTTTCTTTGTTTTTGTAGCCAGTCTACTGCAGCTTGCACCAATCTCATTGTTTGTAATTTACAGAGTATGAACAGTGATTGATAATTTGTGCGTAGCAACCTTTACAATTTGCTTCCTTAAATTGATAATTAAAACAAAACTACTGACCAATAATGGACAGCACTTATTACAAGAAGACACAACCCCCACAATAAAGATGTTGGAAGACACTTGGAACTTGTATTCACTCCACATGATTTATTTGTGGCAAAAACACACTACAGCAGCCTTCACAAACCCCTGCAGGTTAATCTGGATTATCCAAACAGTTTTTGTACTGACAGACTCTGAAAGACTCACTACAAATGAACTGAAAACACATGGTAACCTAGGAGCATTAAGGCTACAAACATCCCATAATGAAACACTGTCTTTAAAAGACCATGTTCTTTATCATGTCGAGATTCTCCACCCTATATATTTCATATAGTATACAGAGACTGACCAATGGGGGCAGCTGACATGAATAAGACATATTACCTGTGGAGACTATGCACTGATTGGCAATACGTGTATATAAGCACCTCATGTATGTGGCCTCTTTGGATACCTTGATTTCCATGGTCAAGCAGTAAACAAATGCATGTATTGCACTGAGCTGTATATGGTTTAGTGTGTGTGTGTGGGGGTCGGCATCAGTGTTGTCCACATAAGAAGGAGAGCTGGTGTATGGACCCCTTTGCGTTGTTCTTTTTACATGGATGGTGGAGGTGTGGCAGCTAGCTACACTGGGTTTGCTATATGGTTTGTACAGCCACTGTCCCACATGGAATCTGACCTAGTCAGAGAACAGGCAGGTGCACCTTCTAGCTGGTCGCTATACCACTGATTCTGAAGTGTAGCTTGTGTATCATTGTGTGCCTCAGCTGAGTTTGAGCTGATACCCAGTTTCCCACTTCCCACTTACCAGGACAGGAAAGGCTGGATCTGGCACACCCCATGACAGATGTGCTGGACATGTGGGAAATTGATATCCAGAGTTCTGATTCAGAGGGTGAGGACCTCCACTTAGGGCAGAGGTATATAGAGGCTAAGCAAGTAGACGAGGAGCAGCAGCAGTCACCTTCCCTCTATCACCAAATTATTGCTTGAGCAACTCACTGGAAGTTGAGATACCAGCAGACCAAGGCTGGGTATCTTCCCATTTTGGTGATGAAAGAGGCAAGGCAGTCCTGTCCTAATTTAGAGGAACTGGTGCTCAAGCACTCGGTAAAATTGCTGGAGGGGTTTATGTAGATGGCTAGCATGTGTTCATGGTCAGGACAAGATTGGTAGTTTACGCTGACTCCCATGGGTCAAGACTTAGGGGCATTGGTGTCCCTCTTCATTCCTGTCTGGGGGGAAATTAGTCTCCCAAGCAGGTACACTAGGATGATGGATGCCATGCTCACCAGAGTACATGGAGTTGTGGCCATCCAGGGACAGCTGGTTCACATGTGCTCTGTTCTAGCATTGGCAAAGCAGTTAGAAGATGGACAGTTTTCCTTGCTCCTTGTGATGTTAATTAAGGAGCAGGCAATGGAAAATGACAGGGCCATGGCCCTCTTCTAGATGGGGGAACCCTATCTCTGGCTATCTTTTGTCACAGTTCCAGGGCAAGACTCGGTCTGTCTGTTTAGGCTGCCTGTAGTGTTATCTTCCATGTTTGAAGCAGATACAGGTAAAATGCTCCAGCAAACTCAAGATCACTGTTGCTGTTCTTGGGAGGTATCAGGGATGTTCCTGCAAAGCCACCGACATTATGCCCCTCCAGCTGGGTCAGCCCAGCAAACTTCAGTGGCTACAGGTAACCTTGGGGTCTGCCAACTATCATGTCAAAGTTAAACATGGTCAATGAGTGAGAAAGGCCAGGGGCTTCCCAAGCCATCCCTTCAGCCCTGATGATTCTCAATACATGCTTACCTCCTTTCCAGACAACCCCCTTTCTGGGTTACCTTCCGGATGAACCTCTAGGTGGTTTTCACCATGACCCAAGCTTATTGTTTGCAGTTTCAGCACCCACACTATTGATGAGGGCAGCTGCTTTTTAGTGGTAGCAGACTGTCAGCACATGGAAGTTTTGGCAGCAGAAATTTCCTCTCTGGCAAAGAGGGCCAGAACAGTCAGCAAACTAGGTTATATTCATGTTATTTCCTCATTCCTGAGTGAGATGGATGACTCAGACTGATTTTAGACTTCAGGGGGTTCATGTGATGCATGATACAGGCCATCTTCAAATGCAAGTGGTTTGCTAAGTGGTTTAGCCTTATGGATGCATATTTTCAGATCCCAAGGGACACAAACGACACCTCAGGTTCACCTTAAATAGCAAAACTTTGAGTTCTGTGTTCTTACATTTGGCATTTTGCTATCACTCCACACCTTCACAGGATACATGTATGCAGTCCTTGGACCCTTGCTTTGAGAACGTCTCTGGATCATACAATACTTGGATGACTGGCTGGTACAGTATGTGCTTGCTCAGAGGAGCAATGCCACAACAGTGTGGCCCAGCTCCTACAGCACTTGATGCCACTAGGCCTGTGCCTCAATAGGAGGAAGCTTTGTGGTGTGTTGGGAGTAGGGATGAAATCCAAATCAGTTGCAGAAAACTTTCCAAAAATCCAGGATTTATGGGTATAATGATAATGGAGGTTGACAACCAGTAGCCAGCAGCTTCTCACTCTGGGAAACCTTAACATAACAAAATGAACCGAGACCACACCACAGTCTGGATGTTGCTGTTTTTTCAAGTATTCAGAATGGATGCAAACTCCAGAAAATGGGTTCAAAGCAGTTCATTCTAGGCAGAAATCTCTGAAGAAGTAATCACCCAAAGTTCAGAGCATGGGGTCAGAATTTGTTTTGACTCTGCTACTAACACAATCCCTAATGATGACAGGTCACAAATCTCTGTCCATTAATTGAACTGCTTAGATGCCCACGTGACTTTTTTCTAAAGGTTCTGGTTCATTTGTAATTGGACAGTGCAAACCTTAATGAACCAAAGGAAAACTAATTAAGTAAACTTTTTCATGTGGCTCAAGAAAAAGTGTATGTGCAGTTTTTTTACATGTAAGATGGTGAGATTATAACCACCTGCCCAACTTCTCATTCCTTACTGTGACCTGAGATGCATCTTAAAATGATGGCAATGCAGATGATCACACTGACACATGGATGGATGTGATGTCATTTTTATGTGCTTTCTATTTTGTTCGAACACTGAATAAACTGCCTTTCAGCAGCACCAGGTTTTGGTTGCTAATAACCCTTTTACTTTTCAGCTGCTTTGAAGAAGTGAAACACACCATCAGGGAAAGGCTGTGAAGAGGAAGCGGAATGAGAGCGAGCAGGAACCCCTCTCCCCCCTTTTTCTAATGTCTAGTGTCTTTTCACTTTCTGTCTTTCTCTCTGTCTCTCTTGATGAGAGAAAGGACTTCTGTGTCTGTGGTCCGAGTCTCCGAACTGCTCTATGGGCCTACCTTTGACCCCCCACCCCCCTTTTTTCTCTTTCTGTGTAGCACTCTCCCCGGCTCCCCCTCCCTCCTCTCTCCCATGCCTTCTTCTGCTTTCTGGTGATAGTACCTGATTGCCTGTCTTGTCTGAGCATCCGTGTTAAAACTAAACCTTGTGGAAATAAGGACTATACCTCATTCACAAGAGGAAAGGGTGACTCTGGGTGTGTGGGGGGTGGGGGCCGGAACTAATAAGTGCTAGTCTCTGTGGTTAAAACAGACAACTCAATTGCAGCCTGATCTTAGGTGAGGCTCCCATGAAAGCAAACCCGAACCTCAACCTTCTCCAACTGTCTCACTGCCTCCTCATCTTTCACCTCCTCTCAAGTCCCAAACAAAAAGCAACTGACTCACTGAAAACCAAAACTTGCCAACACCAAAATGACCTTCATACCTCATCTTCACCCATCAGCGTCTGCTTTTGCTCCATACATCTTGACAGAGAGGCAGGGATTTGCACTGCTCACTATTTTTCACTCTTTAACATGCCATGCAGTAGTGTCCAGTCATACGTGCCACATTGTCCATTTGTCTGTTACTGTTTCTTTCATTAGTCTTTTGGTTTATCTGCTTGCCCAGCTGCATGGGAGAGCCTGCACTGCATTTGTACAATTTCCTTTGTCTTCTTTTTTCTCTCATTTTCCCTTTTTGGATTGAAGAAAATTTTTTATTGTTGTTGTTATTGTTGTTTTTAGCAACCCCGGTCATTCTGTTTCCTTCCAGTACATAGGTTTTACCATTCACCTCCAAGCTGTAGTAGTGTAGTAGAGTGGTTTAACCCACCGCACCTCCCACCCCCATACCCTTTATCCTTTGTAGGTCTGGCTCTCTAAAACACTCCCCTCTCTGTGGGCCTCCAACCACTGCCTAGCCCCATAGAGTCTTTAGAAGAGAGTGGCCTGCACTCCTCTCTTCCCACCCCTTCTCAACCTGTCTTGCACACACACTTGCATTTTATCTCGCTCTCTGACGGATTTTTTCACACACTCAAGCAAGCAGACGCTCAAAGACATGTACAGGCTCTTGATTCAACAATCACACACATTCACACAGCCACATTTCACCCGTTAGCTGAACACCTTAGAAAGCCTCAATTCATCCCTGAGTGTGCTTCAGAGGCCCCTACTTTGTCCATCAAGCACTTGAGAGGAGAGAGAGAGAAAACGTTAACAGGCTGAAGCTGGGGAATGGAAGGGACATTAATTACCCTCATATCCAACCCCACCACCCCGTTGGACTGAGTGTGTACATCAAAGGCAAACCCTGTTGCAACAAGTGGCGTCCATTCATGGAGAGATGCTCATTCAGACCCTAATGATTCAGACTCTCCTGGCCCCATCTTCAAACCTGCCATCCCCAACACCGCATCATACGCATGCCATTTTAACAGTCATCTCACCCACTACCACAGCCATTACTACAGCCTTCTTCCTCGACCTCCACCCCTGCTGCCCAGCTTTGGGAACATTTTTCCAGCGTTGACTGTTAAAGCCAGTTGTGGTGTGTTCCATAGACAAACAGGCAACCAGCGCTGCCCCCAGACTACCTCCTCCTGCTTTTTTTATTTGTCTGCATGCCCTCCCTACATTCCCCCTTCAAATCCCATTTCTCAGTGTGTGCACCCTTCCTTTCCTCATATACCTCTCCCATTGTGACCCATGATGGGACTGGGACTGCCTTTCTTTCTCTCTCTCTTACTCTCTCTTTTCCTACTCTGGTCATCATCTTGTCATTGCCTGTTTTTTAGCTCTGCTGTTTGACCTCTCATCATCCTCCCCTGCACCTCTTTTTCTCATTTTTCTTGTTGTCATCATCAACCCACTTTTCTTATCTTCAGTCCACTTTTAAGGCAGCTTGTCTTGCAAATGTGGAACATATATTTTCCTCTCCCTCTCTTTCTTGTCTTCCTCTTCCACCCTAACATGAAGGAATCATTGAAAGCAAAATGTAGCTGTTTGATATGGAAGACAGAAACTCCATCGGCGACAACAGCAACATCAGCATCAGAATTAAAATACCCCTTAACATTCATTTCATCCCCAAAGCCCCACACCTCTTCCCTCCCCATACATAATTTAATTTTTTTTTTAAATATGTAAGCCCTGTACCTTGTACCCTCTCCTTTCTTACCTACCTACTTGCCTACCTACTGCTTCATTTTGTAAACTACACACTGACACTAATCATTTTCATTTATTTTGTTTTGTTCTTTTGGTTTGCTCTGGAGAATTTTTCATTTGTTTGGGTATTAACACTCTAATGGGGATTTTGGCGCTTCTTCATCGCTTCTTGCTTCTTGGCTTTGGTTTTTTGCTCAAACACCAAGAGGGGCTGAAGGTCTGGTCATTTGGGCTTCTCATTAACCTGCTGCTCACTGTTTGTCCCCTTGTCACTTGTGTTTTAGAGAAAGATGAGGCTGCAATTGAGAGCTCTGAGTTCAATGCCACGTCAGTAGCTGATGTGGACAAGCGGGTGAAACGGCGGCTACTTATGGGTAACTCTTTTCTTCCTCTTTCTATGTGTTGCCATGGCCTTGTGCTTGTATCCCCAGCTCTACTCCTCTCCATTCCTCTTGTCCTCCTTTTTGTCTTTTTTATGATTATAAATTATAAACCTTTGGTATACACTATGTCTACTCCCATAGTAGCGGTTTTGTTGCAACTGTATCCAATTTAATGAGAAAGGAGTACAGTAGGTTGCTGTTTTCCTTTAAACAGTCCCTCCCTAACACTACCTACCAGATTTCTGGATGGCTCAAAGGTTTTCTCAATGACTGACGTATTTTACCAGTTACACCTTACACCAAATATTTTGTGTGCCATTCCTCTTATTTTTGATTACCCATGCAACATTACCCATTACCTATTACTCACAAATTACAGAGCTAAGCCATGACACTTTTGTACTATGCTGGGCAGAATGTTTTCAAAACCATAATCCTCAGAAGCTGCAGATGAAGAAAGAAACATTAGTGCCCTGGTACTCATGGTGCTGAACAAATCTGTCTCTAATATTCCAGTGCTTTCTACTTAGTGAATCATTTCTTAGGCTTTGTGCTCAATTCAGGTAAAAGACAGCACAGTGGACAGCCTGTGACCAGATGGATGTTTGGTCCCTACAGTTTTTCATGTTGAAGACCTGATCTGTGTTGTATCTTTGGGTGTTTGTGTTCTTACTATAAATGCCAAGGAATGCCTATTAAAGAAAATTAGAGTATGACAGTCAAACTAGTAGGCCATTATTCAGACATCTTGCTCTTTGACCATCAAACCTTTTTTCAGTGAACTAACGAATGTTTTTGCTGTAACTTGTTAAGTCAGACATATGCTAAATCAAAACTTGTTCAGAGCTGGACTTTTTTCTGAAGCACCACTTTCATCCTCTATGGCGTCTGTTGAATTTAACCTTTCTTTTATTTTCTAAGACAGAGCTCCTTCAAACCAAGTATCCAGTACTCAAAACCAATGTGTTACACAGTCTGTAGTCTATTAAACCATATGCCCCAACTATTCAAGTTACCTTTTAGTAAGTTCTGGCCAGGAGGAAGGAGGAAGAGTGGAGGATTTAGTTATAGGGCTGCTTCCTGGTCCCTCCTCTGCAGCCCCAAATCAGAAAAGGTTGGGACAGTTTGTAAAATCTAAATTAAAACTGAAAATAGTGATGTGTAATTTATCTGTCCTGTTTTACATTGAAAACAGTACAGCAGCACATTGTTTGATGTGATATCTCATTCATTTTATTCTTTGTTCTAAATAAACACTCACTTCAATTCTGATGCCTGCAACACAAAAAATTTGGGACAGCAAACCATTTACCACTGTGTGATGTTGTCGTTCCTTTTCATAGCACTTAAAAGACATTTACAGACTGAAGACACCAAGTGATTAAATGTGGCAGGGGTAATTTTGTCCCTTTCTTCCCTAAGTCTTAAGGTGTGCAACAGTCCTGGGTCTTCGTTGATGCAATTTGCGTTTCGAAATGTGCCACACATTCTCTATTGGGGACAGGTCAGGACTGCAGGCAGGCCAGTCCAGTACTTACACCTTTTTCCTCCACAGCTATAGTAGGTAGTGTGTGCAGTATGAGGTTTTGCATCGTCTTGTTGAATTATGCATGGGCATCCCTGGAAAACATGTCGTCTTGAAGGCAGCATCTCTGAGTATTTTTCAGCATTAAAGTTGCCATCACAGAAGTGGAATGTACCTTTGCCAAGGACACTGACAGAACCCCAGACCATGACAGACTCTGGCTTTTGGACTTGTTGCTGGTAACAGTCTGGATGGTCTTTTTCGTCTTTGACCCAAAGCACACGACATCCATTCCTTTCAAAACAGACCTGATTCATCTGACCACAGTACACGTTTCCACTGTGTTATGGTCCATCCCAGGTGCCTCTGAGCCCAGAGCAGTTGATTGCACTTCTGGACACTGTTGAGATAGGGCTTCCTTTTGGCACAGTACAGTTTTTTATGGCATTTATGGCTTTAGCTATGTATTGTAGTGCCTGACACAGGTTTGCCAAAGTAATCCTGAGCCCATGTGATTATATCGCCTATAGAAGAATGGCGATTCTTGATGCAGTGGTGTCTGAGGGATCAGAGAGCACAATCATCCACCTGAGGCTTGTGCCCTTTACAAACTGAAATCCCTCTAAATTCCTTGAATCTTTTAATTATGTTCTGCATTGTAGAGGGTGACATATCCAAATCCCTTCCTTTCTTTAAGGAACATTGTTTTTCAACATTTCAATACATTTCTCACACATTCAGTACAGTATGTTGGCAAACTGACGATCCTCTGCCAATTTTTGTTCCTAAAGGGCTCGGCCTTTCCTGGATGCCACTTTTGTCATTGTGATTATGGTCACATGTTGACATCACCTGTTTCAAATGGAATATTAATTTCATTGTTTTACCTCATTATTAGCCCTAAAAAGCAATTGTCCCAACTTTTTTTGGAATGTGCTGCAGGCATCAGAATTGAAGTGAGTGTTTATTTTGAACAAAGAACAACACTGATGAGGTATCACATCAAGTAATGTGCTGCTGTATTTTTTCCAATGTAACACAGGACACAGATGATTTACAAATCACAATTTTCAGTTTTAATTTAGATTTTACATACTGTCCCAACCTTTTCTGATTTGGGCTTGTACCCCTCTGTCCTTCTCTCCCCTCCCTCACTTACCTTTTAGTTTAAAATGTCATTTCTCCTCACTGGATAAACTCTGCTTCACCTCTTTCCACTCACAGCAGTGCCTCTAGTTAGTGATGCAATGTATTGTTAGAGATATTTCAGGCTTGAACCTTGTCTAAGGTTTAATTGGCTTTGTGCATACTATGACAGCCAGATGCCTTCATTCCAGTGTAATGTAATTACTTCCAGGTTTCTGAATGATATGATGTCCAGCTCATTGCAAATAAATCTTCCTTATTTCACCCCAGAAATGTGCACTGATAGAAACATTATCCATTACCAGAATAAAGTTGGCAACTCAATGAAAAGTCATTCACTCATGTTAGCCAAATCTCTGTTGAAGTTGGCTTAACTATTAGACTGGACTGGTGTTACATATGAAACTTATGTAGCTTGAATGAATTCAACAGAATTTCATGAGAGCTGCTTTATACATCATCCACTGAAATGAACTAAAACTACACTGGATATAATTTAATAGTAAACCTATTGCTAGTCAACATTTAGTATTTGAGTCAGTTGAAGCATGCTCATATACTGTATATGCTTCCATCATACTTATGTACATGTAGGAGCACGTGTATGTATGTATGTGAATTCCGAGAGCACTGAGGACTTCCTATTGCTGCGCTGGCACAGCCTCAACAGCATGTTAGTTTTGACACTTTTCAGTTTTTCTGCTTCCTCTGACAAACAACATTCCTGTTTGTGCGCTTGCTGCCATCACCCAGTGTAGACAACATGCTGATCAAGACAAAGTGAATTGCAGCTGGTGGCTCCAATGATACGGTGCTGCTAAGCTGAGGACAGGATACAGAGATAGAAAGAGCCCAAGATGGGAAGGAAAGAGAGGGCAAAAGAGTGGTGGGAGCATGGGCAACTTGATGAAAGTCATTCTGTGAGATTTCATGATGTTGCTATGGAATGAATGCCTCCATCAGGAGCCAGGTGCTGAACACGTGAGCAAAGTGTCAATAGAGAGACACAATGGTGCTACAGTAGCTGTGGCCCTGGATTCCAAATAAACCATGTGCCCTCCTCTCAAGAAAGACTGGTTTGCAGCAGTCAGTATTTCCACAAGGAGTGTGATGCACATGTCTGCTGTCTTCCCTCTCATTCCTTTCTCACCTTGAATCCTCAATAAATTTTACATTGCCTTATGAATACGCTCAGTGATCAATCTAGAAAATTTCAGATGGGGTGGCCAGGCTGGGGCACAGACTCAGAAAAGTGTGGCGCTTCTGAAATACATCTAAAAGTAAAATAAACCCCTAATTCTGTGAAATAATAAACCATAATTATTAAACATCAATTTATTTTGTGTGAAAATGAGAAACACATAGTGCTTTCTTTAGCTAACCTTGGGTGTGCCTCTGATTTACTCCTGGCCAGGGACATTGCTACTGCACAGCGGTTCCCTCAGCTGAGGAAAATCCAAGCAGCAACCTCTCAGTCTGAGAAATTAAACCAATGCAAATGCCAAAACCTGCGGTTCCACATACAGCCACTTGAAGCTGGCTCCAAAAGGGAGTTGATCCTCATAGATATTAAATTGCCCAACTTTACGGTAGAAATAAACATATTTACAACCTGGTACAAAAATGGTTTTGGTGTGTATAGCTAATTTGGCAACTGTACAGGGGGTAAATGTACTTTATAACTCACCCATTTAAATTACATTGAGACTAAAAGTTATGCATAATTAAGGTCATGCCAACATTTGTCCACACAGTGACATAAAGACATACTGTATACACACACACTCATTCTAGGTTAGGACAGAAATATGCAAGGTTAGATGGAGGGTGTAGATGCTTGGTGAGGGTGCTGGTTGGGTGTGGGGGTGGGGGCCTGTCCAGCACATCAATCAGCCTGGCAGTACGTCTGTGTTCCTGAGTTCTGTCTGGCCCTGGGTTTGGGCGTGGTTTGGAGAGAGGGGCTCTGAGCAGGACTGTGCTATCCCTTGGTTAATGATAGGGTCCACTGTGCTTGGTATAAATCACTCTGACCCATAAACACCACCTCCACATGTATCAAGTCTACTCACATGCATATATACCTTTAACACATGCTAGTCTTACTAGCTGTATACACCTGTGCAGGCGCATAGACGGTAATGCTATACACATTCACACAGAGACCCAAGCTGGGGATTGCAGAGGGGAAGAGGTCTGCTGTCATACCCTACAGGGCCCATTAGACAGGCTGCCTGGATGATGGAGTGTTTCTCCTTTCAGCCGTCCTTCCTGTCTTGTTGTTTTTCTACAATACAATGTCTAAGAAACCTCCTGCACTTATTCTGAAAACTCCATTTAAGACAGAGGTTGGAATTTGTACTAGTTTAACTATCTGGCCTCAGAACTTCTCCAAAGACAGAAGCAGACATGAAAAGGATTGCAAATGATGAACACCGAGCTTTTACAGATAAACACAGTGAGGAGCAAATGCAAGCTAGAACACAGAGATTAAAGGAAGACGCAGTTAGTCTGACACTGTTTGGAGCTGCATGAGGGAACACAAACAAATGTACAAAAACGTTCCTGTTTCTTCATTAAAAAAAAAAGCACCGGCCATCTTGGCTCAGATGTGGTTGTGACTGTGCATTCTGAAAGAGCATTATGTTAATGCCTTGACCTCTGGAGGTGGGTGTGTTTGCCAGCCTGAAAAGGCTTTTCCTATTTCCCTCTTTGCTTCACTCAGGCACGCAATCTCCTGGCATTTTAATTAAATAGGAAAAGCCACCAGAAGGAAGGGAAGCATCCCTGATTTAAATGTTACTGTTGTCCAGCAAAAACAGTCGGTTTCCCAAATGTCAGCTTTTTAAATAGAAAATAAGTTTGGTGATGTTGTGTTTTAAATTTGACTAGTGTGTTTTTTCAAGGGTTTTTTTTTAAAGTCCAAATAAGGTAAAAATGTCAGTCATGTACTGACTCACAATAGCAACTTTTTTTAAGTCAACCCCCCAAAAGGGTTTCTAAACTTCATTATTAGTTGTAATTTTATTAAATCCCTTTCAACAAACACAAGTCAACGTCAAATTTCAGCCTCTTCAACACTTCTCCAGGCTCACTGGTAAAGTGTTTGCTGAGCTTAGCACTGAACAGGTGAACTAGAGTTACCTTGAGCTCATGTTTGTTTTGGGATCAGTTCAGGGAATATTCACAAGTCCAAGCAAACCTTTTCTGCTCCATGTACAAGAACATTTTTTCAGGAGGAAATATACACGCCAGTTCCACCAAGAGTGTTCTAGACTTACAGCACCCTGTGCTAACTTTATTTTCCTATCTACTTATATTAACCCAACTTTTATTTGTGTTAACTGATTTCTTGTCACTTTTGAAAATAGGACCGACCTTTGGGCCAGTGTTCTTCACCCTCCTTTATCAGCACAGTGTCATATGTTTTGTCTTGTTGTAATGATACAAATCCTGATTGTGTGTATGAACTGGATTTATCTCTCCCTATGGCTCTACCTATTAAAACTGGGGTGTTGTGATGTAATGTCTTCATCTGTGTGTTGACAAAGCTACATGAAAAAAAAGCAAGAATACATTATATCCTATTGTGCTGTTTGATTGTGTATTCTTACTGCATGAAGCTTTGTCTTAACCCACATCATCACCACCTATAGGTTTTTTTCATGCTGTTCCAGAAGCAGGGGGCAGATGTTAACACACCCTCCATCTTTCTCCTTTTCCATCTTTGTCCTGCCATCTGCAGAAACCTGTGCTGTGAACAATGGTGGCTGCGACAGAACGTGTAAAGACACAGCCACAGGGGTGCGCTGCAGCTGCCCTGTGGGATTCACCTTGCAGCCAGATGGCAAAACCTGCAAAGGTCAGTAAATACACAAAAATGTGCAAATATATGCATGTGAGGCCTGCAAGCTCTGTGTGCAGAGGAGGCCAGGTCCACCTGAGCCTGCTGTGATTGGTATCTGAGTGATCCAGAGCCAAACCCAATTCGACCATCCACTTTGCTTCCAAATTGCACAGAGATCCAGTCACGGTTGCTTGTTGTTGATTTTTCCGGTGAGGATTACTCCACTTCTGACAGCCTGCCACTTATTTCAGTGATGGTGGTCCAAGGAGAAGGCCGCCAAATTGTGGGCTTTAACATCTCAAACAGATTATTATAGCATTTTAGCTTTCCTCTAAACAAACAGTTTGACTGAATGAGACAGTCCTGTGGGTTCAAGCGGAGTCAAACACTGGTCATTACAGGCAGCAAGGTTATGTTCTCTTCAGGGGTGGACAAAGCAGAAATGAGCTGTAGGCATTCTGTTGTGGAGTTTGATCAATGTAATGTTCAGTGAGAGGTTTGCTTCAATGTATTAGGACAATTTATGTTTAGTTTGATATATATGATGTTTGTTTTAAGGTATGGAGGTAAATCCCTGCCAAAACATTTGAGGGCACTAACTACATTTCAAATACTGCTCACTTTGCAGCACATCATTTGAGAGCATGCAGGCACAGATTTGTAAGAGCAGAGCAGCCTCATATTGGAGAGCACCCACCAATCATCTGTTACACTTACGTTTCTGTCATGCCTTGCTCTCACATCTCAAATCAATCTGAATACCACAGTCTGAATACAACTTGTTTTGTGCAGTTTCAAAATATTTGGCACTTACAGAATTTTACACAGGCTGAGGTGGAGTAATCTGAGTGAAAACTAGGAATGGAGCACATGTGGGGCCAGGGTTATGCTCTTCAATCTGATTTTGTGCTTACAAATCTGAGCCTGCTCACTCTCAAATGCTGAGTTGCAAACTAAATAGTGTTTGAAATGTGGTTTGTGCACTCTCAATTTTTTGGTGGGGATTTACTTTCATATCAATGCTACGTGCTACAGTTGCTGTAAAAATTATTTAATCCCTATTGCAAATTAGGAGTAATGGCAAAATTTACAAACTTTCAGCTTTTTCAAATAAGAACAATTGAAATTGCTCAACACAACTAATGTAACAAATGGTTTCTCCAAATTTAACACAAAATGCAACTTTTAATGACTTCTGCAGTCTCAAAATTATTCAATCCCCTGAATAGAATCCCTCATAAAGGCACACACAGATGTGCTTGGGTGTCACTGGACCTTCCAACAGGACAATCAGCCCAAACATACCTCAAAAGTCCACCAAGGCTTGGGTGCAGAAGAGGTCCTGGAAGATTCTAGAGTGGCTGTCACAGTCACCTGACTTGAATCCCATATAAAATCTCTGGTGGGATTTGAAGAAGGTGGTTGCAGCACACAAACCCAAGAATATTAGTGAACTCGAGGCCATTGCCCAAGAGGAATGGGCTAAGATTCTTCAGGAACGCTGCCAGAAGCTGGTGTCTGGCTATGCATTACATTTGCAGCAGGTCATGGCAGCAAAAGGGTGCTGTACTTAATACTAAAAACGCTTGTTATGAAGAGGTGGAATAGTTTTGAGATTGTAGAAGTCATTAAAAGTTGCATTTTGTGTTGGATTTGGAGAAACCAATTGTTACATTAGTTGTGTTGAGCAATTTTAATTGTTCTTGTTTGATTTGTTCATTGCAACCAGCTGAAAATTTGTAAATTTTGCCAATACACCTAGTTTGCAATAGGGGTTGAATACTTTTGACTATGACTGTATATGTTTTGTACATGTAGGAATCATCACATTTGGAAATGTTTGTTAGGATTTACTACAGACAGGACTCTAGCCATTTATATTCAGATATTTGCCTAACCCTGTAATGCATTTTTTCATAGAAACTGCATAAGTATAGTACAGCTCACATGGATTTTACTTAACTGACAATAGGAGTATGTCAAGAAGCTTGGATGTGAAGTGACTGTTAAAAGGCTGTAAATAAAAGGAGTGGAAGCCAAGCAAAGGAAACCAAAGGGCGATATCCAGTTTGGAAAATTCCCATGTTTTCCATTTTTCTTTTATCCCATTTTTTTTAAGAATTACACACTTCTTTGTTTCCAGAAAAAAAAATCTTTTATGGAAACCACCATGACCAGAGTGTGGTACCTTCAATTTCCTTAACAGGTCATTGCTAATGTTAACCTAGTTGCAGTAAAAATGCTTTCAGTTATGGCTTTAAGATAATGATGGCATAAACAAAAACCTGTACATTATGGTGAGTCGTACGTATTCTTTAAGCCATATTTCTTGGGTTAAGCTACCTGTAGTTACTAAGGTGAATGAAGCTCTATGTTCCTCTGGTTGATGGTTGGATATCCTTCTGACCACTGCATGAATGGAGAGATGGAACACTGGGGCACTTCGCTGTTGAAACAAACCCCATGTGACAATGGTGTTCAAATAGAGAAGTCATTATAGCAGAGAAGTGCAGGTCATGTGACAATAACATGATTGTATGTGCGTCAGAATCCAGGCATTTTGCGTGATTTGATGAAATATATTATAGATTGTGTGTGTGTCTTTCAGAGTATGTGTGTTTGTGAAATAAGTGTCAGCCAGTTTGAGAATGTGGCATGAAGGTGTGTGCAGTTCTGGAGCCGGAGCTGTCTCAGGCCCGGCAGGCAGACGACACATCAGCAAACTTTGAGATGTTTGAATAGTGAGGCCCACACTGGCCACTGTCTCTCTTTCTCTCACTCTCTCTCTCTGTCTCTCGCCTCTTTCTCCCATTCCCGCATGACAAACACACACTCACAAAGACAGCACCATCAGGCTGCAAATGCAGTAAATACAATAGGTTGATCATTAATGTAGTACAGTACATTTGGTCAGTTCATAATTTTAAGAAATAAACACTAGAATGTAGCATAATTACCCTGTTAGAGCTCTGGATGGCTGCTTTTTTGTGTTAGATTAACATTTGTACATCAGAACATCAAAAACACTGAAGTGCAATTTTCTCTTGACGGATACGGTTTGAAATATTTTCTTCAGTTACATTAGAAACAGAGCAATAAGTCCTCTTAAATACATTGTTTACAATGTTTTCTGAAGTGCCTGTGACTTCAGAAAAGACATAGTTTTGGTGTTGTATGGTAAGGCACAGAATGGCCAGGGTAAGATCATGGTTTAGGCTACAATTAGGCTAAGGATAATAAGGATAATCACCTTTATTTGGCCAAGCATGTTACATGATTATGATTCACCAGCCTGTGAACAGTATTGCCATGTTTACAATAATAACGATGCAGTTAAGGTTAAAAGAAACACATAGGAAACAATAACTGAACATGGTCAATATCGCTCTATAACATTGTTACCTGGTTTCCTCCATTGCTGCTGTTATAACTGTTATGGCTGCTGTGTAACTTGATCAGAAACAAATGTTGCTTTGTGGCACTTGCTGAAACAAGTGATGCTGTCATTCTTCTTCAAAGGACATTCTCACATAAAGCACTGTTACTGGATTTGATGCGTGTTAAAAATGTGTCCCAATTGGCTCTAGCAGCCCACTGTCATCTGCTGACAGGCATGTTGCATGCTGGGAGAATGCCCCATCCACTGTTCTGAGGTCAAATTCAAGCCCAACAACTTGTGCGAACACTTCCACTCTGTCTCCTAAGGTGATTTGTGGTCCTGACGGAACCCAGCATTTACACTGGTGGAAAAATTAGATCTCTGTTTTTGGACCTGAGTTGAGTGGGGAAGATGAATAGGTGTGCAGCCAAGCTGTACCCCGCCCACATAATTTGGCTGTGGATCATCCCCTGGGCTTCATAAATCCCCAACCAAGGTAGCAATGCTAAGGGAGACAGAGAAGGCAGCCCACACTGATCAGTATCTATCACCCGGGCACTGAGCAGGAAAGTACACATTCATAAAAGCCCATAACGTCTCTTTACACATGCACTGAGTGTGGTCCGTGTCATGCATCGTGCAACATTATTGTTGCTGTTTGTAACTCAGCTAGACCCAGAATATGACTGTAGAAACACATGGCCATAGTTTAACATCACCCACATATCTCTGAAAGGGGATCTAAAATCCTGAAAAGCGAGTTTGCTGCTTAGCTTGTTTTTTAAAATTAATTTAAATTACTAGAGCAAAATCAGTGATCAAATATCTATAGGTTGAACAATGTGTTGGATCCTGGGTGAACCTGAGCAGTAGAAACTAGCTGTAATCAACTCCAAGGCTGAAAAATAGTCGGGGAGAACATGCTGCTTCATTTTAGTGTCTAGACAAGCAGGTAGTTTTGGTTCATGTTCTGAGAGCTCTGAGATTTTCATCTCCATTCAAATACAGTGTTAGTTTTGTTTGTTTGTTTTTTGTCATAATAGCTTTAAATGTTTTAATTTAAAATGCAATATGTCTTTCATGACTAAAACTGGGCAATCTACAGAACATTCTTCGAACAGTTTTTGTTGGAGCTATTTTCTACTGGAGACATTGTTTCTGTGAAAACTGTTCAGTAGCTGTGGTGTGAATTATCCGGAGTAAATGGGACACTGTGTCTGGGAAAAATGTTTCTGACGTCGTTTTTCAAGTGTCACAGTTCAGTTGTATTGGGATGGTGACAGGAATCCCAGACACCACTAAAGATAAGTTTTGGTAAATGTACCTTTTAATACAGCCCACACATTTCTCAAAACTAGCATCTGGTGGTCGCTGGAGGACTTTAGTTAAGGATAGTTTCCCATGGTCTACCACAAGTCCACAAGTGAGTGAGAGGTGAAGAATGAGCAGTTGGGGCTTGAATGTAATAAAGGTTCCTGGCCATGCATCAAGTATCTTTGCTGCTTTTGTTGTTCAGGGTGGACAGGTAGCTTGTCTAACATACATAGACAGTAGCTAAACACATTCACATCTTCACCTAAACTTCATGTCTTTGAAGAAATCTTCCAGTGTGTTCAAGCATAGACCTGTGTTGCTG